TGACTTCATCTGTAACGATCCTTCTTCATTGGGTTTTTATGGTTTTGATGAGAATTTATGAATAACCACACAGAAATGTCACATTTCCATTCCTGGAATGACTTAATGTTCCCCCCTGTCTGATATGTTTGGGAATCTCCTATCCCAGATACAAAACTTCTACGTTCTGGGATCAGAACCTTCTTGGGTAATTTTTCCCTGGGGTGTGAATTTTGGCTCTGTAATCCATTTATTAGGCCCCCCACCCAAGGTGCAAAAACAACGTAGAACATGGCTTGATGAAGGGGCTGAAATAAAGGAAGAAATTCCATGAAATGCCAGTGGCATCACAAAACGCCGCTGCTCCCATCTTATGAGGCTCTGCCATGTCCCTGTTGTGTCATTTGGTGTAATTACACCACAGCACTGGGTTGGTCATGTTGAGCGATTGGGGCAGTATGAAATCCCCTAATCAAACAGTGTTTCCTCCACCAGAACAGGATTTTTGCTGGGTGTGTGTGTGGCAGGGAGATGATATCCTGTTTGTGGGTTTCTGATGGATGCGCCCAAAAATGCAAAGTCCCTCTTTCGTAAAATGATCCTGATGGTCAGATGTGTTGCTGTACATGTTTTCACATGCACTGAATAATGATGTCGGGCTGTTGGCCCATTCCACTCTGCACAGAGCCGTGGATCATTATCCACATTGACTTTACAACATCGCTTGGGTGACATCTACCCCGTAGCTGTGTGTGGATTCTGACCCTCTTCACACCCAGCTGGTGGGTCATAGCTTTGAGGTTGTCAACAACTGGCAGACTGTTGTGTGATGTCACTTCCTCCCGTGGACCAATGCGACCCAGCAGTTGGTGATGTCAGGCGTGCTTCAGGGACATTCTAAGTCACTCTTTTTTCACTATTGTTTTGTTTTGAAGGTCCAGGCTGTATGGAATATCGACTTGTGGATTCGTGTGTCATTTGGGCTTGTGTCTGTTGAACGTGGTACCAGAACTCTTGCAATGTTAAAGTAGTTTATTGATCGTAATTGAAAAATTAGACAGTTTACTTCAGGTAAGGTCATGCTACATATTTCAAACATTTATTGAACCACAAGCATTAGGGAAGTCTTAAAATGTATTAGCTGTTTATAAACACGGTCTGTTTGTTGAATCCCAGTTAAAAATACAGTCTGTGGTACAGTGGTTCTTCAAATGGAGGGTTTTGCTGCTATTGCAGGAAATGTCAGATGGCCTTCTGGGTCCTCTTCCCATTCTGGAATTCTGTGTCCTAAGATTGATGGGGGTGGGGGGGAGAGCTTTGCACTTAGGTCACCTGGGGGCCTCTGATTGAAGGCTGTTCTCCCGCCTTGTTTAAAAGCGAGATCAGACGCCGATCAGGATGCAGACGTCGGCTTATGTGTGAGTAACCATGGTTATGGGTGTCGCCTCTTATGTGCTGGTTTGTGCTTTTATTTGTTGTCTTTATTTTTTGGATGCAGTGGCAGTTTTTAGTTTTCAAGGTATTTATACAGCAGGGTGTGTGCGTGTTTAAAGCCAAGGCAGCACTGCGTTTTAGGGTTAGAAGGTGGGTGTCATGTGGCATTCTGCTTCTCGTGATATGGGGGGGTGAGCTGGGGAGGCCGCCCCGGGAAGCTGTGCCATATAGCGCCGGGGGGGCCAAGCTGAGGAGGCAGTTACAGGCGGGTTTGCAGGAAGCCTGTTCGTATGTGGAAAGTAGGTCAGGCGGTGGGCACGTGCGATGCTATGTCGGGGAGGGTGGGCTGGGAATGGGGGGGGGGGGGGGATCTGCAAACTACAACAGGGGAGGGTTAGCCTTTGGACGAGCTAAGACGCACTCCACCCACGCCCGCTGTCGACTGACGGAGCACGTCGACAAACTCCTCAATCATTCTGCTGATAGGGGGAGTTTTCCAGAAAGCAGCGGCACTTGCGTTTGCTGCCGAGGAACATGAGCCCCCTCCCACTCATCCGTAGATCCTGTCAGGGCGTCTCTGCCACCCGTTATCTGCTTATTGAACAGCGGTTTTGAAAGTGTTAAAGACTTCCTTTGCTAATAAAGGGGAGCCTCATGTGTGAATACTGAAAAGTTCAATGTACTTGTGACTCAGTAGTAGCGCACGTCCTTATCATGACTGCACTGGGTCTGTTCCTTTGTATTTCCTGTTCCAGGAAAAGTTCATGCAGTTTCCAGAATGGTTGTTAGTGGGGTAGGTTCCTGGGGGGGGGGGGGACCTCCCTGTGTGTTTCTGTGTCCTTTGGTATAAAGCTATAAAACATTAATGTTTTAAACCCTACGATTCGGGGCTTAATTCTATGAAGGGACACACTTTCGCTACCTTTTACAGTAATCACTTCGTTCACTACCTTTTACAGTAATCACTTCGTTCACTACCTTTTACAGTAATCACTTCATTTTCTAAAGCGTTCGTAATGCCGTGGCATCGGGGATTTGGTGTCCATGCAGTGGGTATAAACTGCGCTTTTGCTGATTCTGGAGCGAGAGGTACCTGTTGGGCCATTCGACGATTGGGGCCAACAGATCACTCTCCGGAAGGGCTTATGTCGTGCCCCCTGTCTGGAAAACGTTGGACCCTTGGCATCTTTTCACAAGTGCAATCCCCTCCTTGTCACTTCCTGGCAGGTTCTTTGAATAGCCTAAATCTGACCCCCCCCCCCCGCCGCCGGCATGCACACCTGCGGGTGTCGCTAATGACACTAATGCTGCTAATTTCGGTAATTCCTTATGAAAGCTGGTCTCTGCCCCATGGAGGCAATTAATGGACAGTTTAATTAATGTCTGCTGTTCTCGCTTGTCCCTCTCTGTGTGCATCTTTTTTATACCATATTTAAATTCCCCCTGTTTTTGTTTTGTGTCCAGATGGTGCTGTAGGTCATTCAGGAAAAACACAGGAATAGTTAGCGTAGCATGTAGCCGTTATAGCTTTCAGCTCTGGGAATGAGTTGGTTGATATGACCTCTGATGCTGTTTTCCCATAGATTAGTTGATAATCCTTGGGTTGTATCTCCTCAGAAGGTTACCTAAGAGAATTTTAGCTCTTGAATGTTCCAGGTAATCCCCTCTGGGCTCGTATTTTGCTGTCGATCATGATTTATGTATGACACACACAAACAAACAGTGAGTTTGAGGTGCAGTGGCAGTCATGCTGTCTGGTACCCTGGAAGTCCTCTGGGTGGAGCCACACGCCTGGGTGTGCGGGGCGGGGAACCTCTTGCCTGCCGCCGGCTGTGGGTCATATGTTCGAGTCCCACCCGCCTTCACAAAGGTGCTTTGCGGTTTGGCTTCGGACGACATTGTGTTTCAGTTTGGAGATGCAGACAGGCGGTGCTGCTGGTCCCGATTACGTCCCGTGGGGGTGGAGTTCAGCTGGAAAACTAATTATGAAGGAGCCCTTGTGTATTCTGCCAGCTGAGGGGGGGGGGGGGGGGGGGGGGGGGGGGGGGTGCGAGGGGTGGCGCAGTTGCCAGTTAGCTGTCCAAAATACTTTCGGAATCCCGCTAAGTCTATCACGCTTCCGGTCGGTTCTGGAGGAAAAACCAGCCAAAGTGTGTTTTGAGTAGCTGCAAAGGTCCATAGATCTTTAAGGGTGGAACAGAGAACCATTGAAACCCCCACTGGTTGCTATGAAGATCGTTGCAGACCCGGTGAGATGTTAAAGAATGGGATAGTTGGTCAGTAGTAACCTTCTGATGGTAGTTTTCCATATAAGGGGTAGTATTTGAGGTATCAAACAGATGTTGCTATTATTAACAGGAACAGTGATATGCCGTAGACTGTGTTGTGTGTATTATAAAGAATCATTGCATTTTAGGTGTTGGCAGCGGGAGTCAGTGTCCATGCTGTAGGGTGTCCCAAAGTGCTTCATTTGTTTTTCTAAACCATTTCACCCGTCTGCCATTACTAGGGAGACATTTCTATTTCAGTTGGCGTAGGAAGTCTCCAGAGAATAAAATTTGTGGAGTTTGGAAATTGCGTTTTGTCTGATCTCGTTATTGACACCCTCATGCGTTCCTGATTGTCGATTTTATTCCTTCCGTCGCGGTGCTTGAGATGAACTTCATTCCCTAACTGCTTGATTGTACAAAACCCGACAGCGTTGTGGTTTTTGTCAGTCAGGTCGTAATGTTTTTTTGGTAGGTTTTCTGTACTGTCTGTGTACAGGGGCCTGTGCGCTAAGGATTCCATGTAACGGGGGAGATGGTTAAATACTCCTGTGGTATGTGGCTCAGAGGGTTAGGATGCCCTATCTGTAATGGGAAGGTTGCTGGTTCAAATCCAGGGTTGGCAGAGTGGTCTCATTGTTGGACCTTTGAGCGACGTCCTTAACCCCAAAGTTCCAAGCCGTTTGTTCTAGGTACTGGCTGGCCCTACTTTCCTAGTTGTACATCGCTTTGGATCAAAGTATCTGCTGAGTAAGTGTGATGTAGATCTGTAGTTTGATAAAAGCTCAGGTAGACATGGCTAGCTGCCCTTAGCTTAGCAGGATGCCCAACCTCTGTGAAGCTGGCCCCCATATGTTTGAGATTTTAACCAAACTGGTCTCAGTCGTTCGTGCCACGTTTTTGTCGTTTAAATTTTTGTTTGTGCTGCTTTAGTTTCTGAGATGTATATCTCTGCGTACTTGGTGTCCGTCTAGTGTCGACTCTTGGCTGAGCTGTTGAAAACAGGAAAGGTCATTGCCTAAGTTATTAGTCAGGTTTATTGAACTCGTCAGGCTTGGCAAAGTCTTAATAAACGCAGGTTGTTGTCAGTCGGAGACGTCTTTTACCCACCCGTGAGTTAAGGTAGCCGGTCTGGGAGGCAGGGTGTTCGGTAAGCCGTAAGAAGCGCGTCTCACTGCCTCCAAATCAGGCTTCCTGTGCAGCTAAACGCGGCTTCCCCCGGCACCTGCGGGGGGGTCGGGAAGTATGTCAAGATCCGCGTCGTTGTGACTGGTGCCAGTCGCTGCCTGATCTTCTCCCGCGTGTCGAGTTCTGCCGGTTTATAACCAACCGTGCATTTAAACAGAGATGCATGACATGTTAACATTGTGTCGGCCGATATTTGTTAAAAATCAAGGTGTCGGTCCGTTGTGCCAGTCTTGTCTGATATTTCTGCTGATATTTAAACTTAATCAGTATTAAAAGTTGGCAGCATCAGTGCAAAAGACATGGCTGCTGCAGTGCTGAAGGTGATCGCATTGTGCGATTTTTAAAAAATTATTTATTTTTATACGGCACGCCAGGTTTTTAATTCATTAGATCTGGCCTGCAGATTGATCTTGCGATTTTCACAGAACAAAAATCCGTGTAAAGTCATTCCGCTAATCTGCACCGACGGGTTTCATCACCAGCGTTCCTCACCTCACAAAAAACATATCGATTCCGATATCGGTCATAATTTCCATATCCGTGCACCACTGCCTATACACAAGCATTTTATTGACTTGACGACTTTGCTCAGAAACGGTCACTTCTTGTAACCAGGAAGGTGAGTAACAAGGGCTGTCTCTTTTCAGCTGAAAAGCTTATCAGATAACGGGACGAGATTCTGCCTGAAGAGATGAGTTATCAAGTTATCAGGGTAATTTCTGTGTGATTTTTTTTCTCTCCTGCGTTTGACCTGTTTCTGTTGAAATGGCTTTTGTTGTGTGAGGAGAAGCTTCCTTCCCTGGTGGTAATGGACGCGTGACCAGTCCAAAACGATATCCAGAGTGACGAGCAAACAGACCCGCGCATTTCTGTTAATAAACTAGCTTTTATAGTAGGTGAGCTCAGCTTGTCTGCTTTATTTTCTTGGTTTCCATGGTGCGTGTTGGAGGGACCACTCCTGCCCCCATTTGATATGGTCTGTTTTAACTTTATGGCCCCACCCCCCACCACAGGCACCTCCCAGTCCCATCGACACCCGCAGACCCTGGGGTGATGCCTTTAAACGGCAGACTGCTGAGCCAAGAAAGTAAGGAAATTGAATTTTGGAAGTGAAATTCTCTACCCTATATTGCGTTTCCTGGAGATAAAGACACAGATTTTTTTATTTTTTTGTTCTTTTTGTGGTTCTGTTGAAGGTTACCGAGCTACCTGCCCCTCCTGGGGGGTGGGGTGTAGTTTGGTGGGTTTGGAAAGGGTGTCCGGTCCAATTCCAGGGTGGGCAGTGATTTCTATCTTGGGGCCGTAAATGCCAGTTGCTTCAAAAAAAAAAATGTATGTTGTTTTGGGTAAAAGCATCTGCTAAGCAAATAAAATGTAAATTCTGGGTCGTGTGGGTGTCTGTGGAGCCGTCTGTGGTACCTTTAGTGCGGGAGCCTGGTTTGGTGCCAGCGTGGAGTGGAACTGATGTAATTGTGTCACCGGCAGGTGGATGAAGTCATCGGCACCTTGTCCTCCGCACTCTCTCTCTCTCGCTCGCTCTCTCTCTCTCACACACACACACGCACACACTCCGTCCCTCTAGATGCTGGCTGTAATTAAATTTCCCCTGTCTCCAGTCACATTGGTTGTGCCTCTTCACTGCACAGTTACGCCCCGGCGGGGGCAGGGGGGGGGGGATGTGTGGGTTCTCTCACAGATCCCGCTGTTCTCTCCCCCCTGGGCTCCTGCCCTAACATTTTTGGGTATGGGACTGGACCAGCAAGCAGAGGCACCGGAGGCCAAGCCCAGGACTGTGTCTCAGCGACAGCAGCCACCTCGTTTGTTTACATAAACTGCACATCATGTAGGTGCTTAAGCGGACACCTCGCTCTCTCTCCCTCCGTCTCCCTCAAGCTTAACATGAGTTCCCAAAAGCCAGTTGGTTTCGGTACTAACTAGGTCAAATGACCTTCTCTTATTAGTCACTTCAATTAAGTAATTAAGTGGCGACGTGTGAGGACAGTGTGATGAAATGTGGGTGGATTCCTATTTTTAGGAGTCACAGGGTGGAGGCCTGTTTGTCTTGGTGATCGACAGTCAGAAGCCGGAGTTTCCTGGCTGGTGTTGTGTAAGCGATCAGAATAAGTACATGATGTTTTGGTCAGTTTCGCCTCATTTTCTTCCAGAATCTGGCCTTTCTTTGTCACGGTAGCATAACTGCTTTGGGGTTGTGATTTCGGGACATTTCCATTCTACTGAAATTGTTTTCAGCCGTCGTTTGTTCTCGTTTTTCCATTCTTTCAGCCCCCGGTTGTCTGAGGGTGGGCCGTCAAGTGGCGGTGCAGTGGGGTGTGGTTCCTCCCAGCTACCTGCGGGGGCGCTGTGGCTGAAGCTGGCTCTGAGCCACACTGACGTTGATGTGGTTCCCTTTCAATCTCGGTCTCCTTTCCTCCTTGTTCTATTTTAACGTTGTGGGGATATTTTTATGACTTTATGAAGGCTGATGCTTGTAAACACAACCCCCCACCACCACCACGCCCACGCACGCTTTCACAAGATGTTCTCCGAGCTGATAACTTGACCCCGTGCCCCGCCATCAAAATCTTTGGATTGCCACAGAAACAAACGGGCGCTGCACAGACTTCGGGGCCTAGAATAGCTGTTTGGAAGAATTTGCCGAATGTCTTACTAGTGTTCGGTAACAATTGGGCGTGGGGGTGTGTGTCTGACCCTCACTCTTTTGCATGGTAACAGCATGGTTATTTTTCCTCAACAGACCCCCTGTATGTGACTGCCCCCCCCCCCGATGAGCATGTGACCTGGAAATGCTTCCGGTAGCACAAGCATGGTCTTATTTGATCAGCTGGCTGAGCGACGAGCAGTTTGGAATGGCAGGCCTGCCTTCAGGAGTTTCATCGTTCTCTCCAGTTGCCTTATCCGCTTCCTGATTGCTCCGGTTCACAGATTTCGGGGTCGTTCTGGGCTTTTATGCAGGTTTTGTGTCATTAGGGGTCTTTCCCAAATGGCACTCTGGTCATGAACGTGACAGGCATAGGCTTGACCCAAGCTGGGTTCTACCCTACAGTGAGTGATGAGTGAGCCATGGGAGACCTCAGCAGATCCGTGGTCTTTGCTGCGGAACCTTTGTCGTTTCGGCTGAGTTCCGCCGTGTCATCAGTCCTCTGTGTTCCTGTGTCTTTTCCCTGCTATGTGTGTGTTTTTCTTTATGAAAGCTAGTTTGCCTGTCTGTGTCACATGCTGTCTGTGGTACTCCTAGGCATTTGGCATTGTGAGAAACTGGGGCGAGCCGAGCGGCTTGACGGAGGACATCTGGCCTCCCCGTTCGGCCGAGGGGGATTTGTGCAGCGGGGGGAAGTGATGTCATTGTTCTAGTGCATGCTGATCTCATCTCTCTTGGTTTTAATCCCTTTATGTATCGTTTCAGTTGGGAGGCAGCAGGGTCTTGGTATGTGGGATCAGAAGGGGTTGTTGGAGAGGAGAGTAAAGTTTTGATGATGCAGGTGTCACAATGCAGAGGGAGGGGCTGAAGAGGGAGGGGCTAAAGAGGGAGGGGCTAAAGGATAAGTCCCATCATTTAGGTGTTTTTTGCACTCGGTGCCCCAAAAACAGAGAGAGCTGGTGTTGGGGTTGTAGTGAGCCGGTCTGGCTCAATGTCTCCCTCTTCCCGAGGTCAGGAGTTTGACCTGCTTGGCTGTGGCCTCCGTCGGCGTTTCCAGCCTGCCAGTCGGTGACGCGTGATAAGCTTCGTTTTCGCATATGACTGCCAGCCAACTGCCTTGATCTCACTCTTGCCCTGGAAACAGGGAAAACAAACAGAGGTTTTCCTGCTGGCCGTGCTACTGAGACAACACCTGTTTACGGCAACCTGGAATTCCTGTCATCGCGTTACGTATGGAGCAATTATTATTGCGCTAAATGTGTATTTGTGTACAGCTTAACTGACTTGTGATGTAAAGGCGCGACGCTTTTTGTGTTTCGGAAGCTGTAAGGATTCTGTTCAAAGGTCCAACGGCCGTCCATCTTCTTTTTGTGGGGTTTTGGTGGTAAGTCCAGGTCCTGTCAATGTTGAGTGTGAGTGGCCCAGATTGAAGGTCTGTTTTTTTTTTCTGTGTGATCTAATTGAATGTACAGAGAGTTCTGCGTTTATTGCATATTTTAAGCAACCACTCCATTGAAAGAGGGGGGAAAAAAATAGCTCGACTGAGCGAGAAGCCGCTGCGTCTATATTTACCAGCGGTGTTCAGCGTGACTTTCAGGTGTGCCGCTTTCGCAATCCAGTCGTGAAACCACGCAGGCTTCCTCTTTCCTCTGCCAGGCTTAATCTGTGGCCCTCATTTTCTCTTCGGAACGGACGCCCCCCCCCC